CTGTAAATCCCTTAAATGCACTTTTACTCATCGGTTGTCTCTTCGACAAACAGCCACACTGTGCATACTCATTCTTTTTATGCGTTGAAGATGACAGAGTGCTTTGGGGAAATGGCGAGCCACCATCACAGATCCCCACTTGGATTTTTACTCTCCACCGTAGCGTGTTCTTTCCACCGTCCCCATCCTGTTGTTTCCACATCAGATTAGATCATACACGCCACTTCAATATGTTATTGCCAGGGAACAAAGATATATAATGCACGATATCATGATTGATCACCCTTTGTTCTCGGATAGCCACAGGCTTTTTTCAAGTTAGGATCAAATTTTACGAAGGACAACTGAGGATGAGATTTATTTTGCGGAGAGTAAAGACGTCTTAAGATGTTACCTTTTACAACCTCAGCGTCATCTCTCATCTATTCTGGAATCATCTTCAATCACCATCTATTTGTCTCTGTTTTCTATATAGCAGCAGACCCAAATACCAGGAGCCAGCATGAGGCAAGGTGACTCATGCTTGTTACCTCCCATCCTCTCATTAATCTCTGCCCGTTCTCTTGTCCATGCGAGATTCTTGGTCATCGGTTGCGAGCTTACCTCACCCGTCTGTATCAAGCGAGAACAAATCTTTATTTGGTGGTTTGTAATTAGGTCTGAGCGGTACATCTGTGTGCCTTTCAGCATGGGCCGTCTCCGGCAGGACAGACAGTTCTTGGCATCCCACTCCTGAACAAAAAAGAAAAAAAAAAGATCTGTTGACATCAATGGTAACATAACTTATTCAGAAATCTTAAAGAAAGACAGGAGAACTACAGGAGAAAAATCAAATGAAATAAAACATTTTTCCAGGAGAAATTCATAGGTAATTTGTCACAAATTCTTCTTTGTTTTTTCCACAAAATATGGTTTGAAGTATGCCAAAGGAGATAAGGGAGGAGGTAGTGAAGCTTATACGCTCTACATTCAGAAAAAACATTCCAGCTGACACCGGCCGTGGACTACAGATAAGGCATGCTTGCAGAGAAGACAGAGAAACTTCACAGAACGGATTATCAAGCAAAGTAATAGATTCGAAACAAAGCTGCCAAGTATATGATATCAGAATATAAAATCGGAGATGGGCAATAAATCGAATGCTTTAGTTGTAACCTGTGTAGTGTCCCCCAGAAGGTTTAAAATGTAGGACCAAGTCCAATAAAAGGAAGAATACTTAGAATTCTAAAATGGGCTGAAAGCAACACAAAAACTGATTAGCAGAAGGTGTGATTGTGTAATTCAGTCTGTTTACTTAGCAATATCTCTCCCCAAGAATTAGTTTGTGGCCGTCATGCATGCTTGTCCCCCCTCACAGTTTCACTGGCAGCTCAAAGTGAAATGGAGTAAAAGTATAGAGCAAATATGAAAAGTATCATTCCAGTTAATAAGTGAGTTTATTTACAAGAAACTCAGTACTTTTTTATATCCTCTGGCAAAACTTTGTTGATGAAATGCTTTTTCAATGATCCAATAACTTTAATGAAACTATAACCAGGATTCATTACAAGCTGAGTGTTCCCAGATGTGTAGCAAACCAATTTAGTAAGAAATCATAAAAATCTTTTTAGAGGCGTTTTGAATTTTATTGAGAAAACAAAACAAAAAAACAATGCACAATTTAATAAGTTGGCTTTGCAGAGCCATGTCTACCTTTATATACAAGGCAATGTTTTTGATTGACTTCTAACTCTGAAGAGCAAAATTTGTAATGTTTGTTGATAACGTTTTTTAAACTTCATCTGTCCCAGAAACCTTTCAATTTACAGCAGAAGATCTTCTGAGTGGTGAACGCTCAGGTTCAATATGCACACCTAAATCAACTTAATGTTCATTTACCACATTTTCCATCCTCTCTTCAGTCAAACTTTCCAGCCATTCCTGACAGGAATGGTGATCTTTCCCTGTTTGGTACTAAATCTGCCACGGCCAGTTGTTTCATTTGAAAGGTTTTCTTAGATCTCCCGGTTTGTCTGGCTTACCTTGGTTTTCTTGTTTATTGCCTCAGTTTTATTTCCCCTGCTCAGCTTTCTTCCCTGCTTTGGCCAATCACCTGGCCCTAGTTTTCTAATGCATCACATCTGTGATGTGTCAGTCCTGATCCCCCTTCAGTTTGTATAAACCTGTGTTTCTTTTGTGCCCTGCCAGGTATTCATCTGTGCAGATTATTGTGTTGTTTGGTTTCTCATACCATGCTAAGTGGCACATTTAGCTCAGTTATATTGGTTTGTGTTTCCTGGACTCCGAGTCTTTGCAGCGTCTTTTGGAGTTTTTGTTTTTTTTCATACGTCGTCTTGCTTCTTGAATTCAAGTTTGCGTTCCAGTTCTCGTCAACACAACCCATGACACACTTCAGCAACTTTAAATGTTCCTAAGTTTGTTTTTTGCCAGCTTCTGCTTCCCTTTCTTTTCTTTTACTATCTTCTGATCTACCACTGTAAGTCCAGTTACATATTTATGGATAATTTATTCCTAAAAATTAATCTCCCTATTATTATTACCTTTAATTGTGTTGTTATTGGTTATATCTCTCCTGCTCAAATGTTAAAATGTGAATGAAAAACAGATGTGGCAGCACATCTGCTATATTTGGATTTTTCACCTGAAAGAAAAGTAATATGTTCACCATGAGAGGACTATCTGGACCTAAATTTATGAGCCACATTTTTGGAAAATAGTCCAGTTCTGGACCATTTGAAAGTTAACGATGAGAATTAAACAGAGAACAGAGGAAGATGTTTGACATAAGAATGGATGGTTTCATTGAAAACATATTAGAAAAATAGATTCAGAGTAAAATGACAATTTCTGCCCAGTCAACTGACCCGAAATGTAACATTTGAAGATGTGCTGTTGTACTGCTAATTTTATGTCAACTACAACAATTAAGGGAATACAACTTTGGAAGGTAGTAGATCTAAAATGCTCTCTCCCAAAATAAATACATAGTTTTATTACATAAAACTGATATATCATAAAGTTGATTAGTGGGTCAGAAACTATAAAAATATAGATTTTGTGATTAGTGCTTCCAAACAGGGATTGGACTTAAGTAGGTTTTATAACTTAAAGTTGGAATACAGTAGAGTGTCAAAGTTTACGCACTGAATTCAAATTTGAATTCAAAGACAAAGTATTCATTTAGAAAAAATGAATAAATGAATGAAATGGTTGTTGTTTACTCAGTTTAAGTTTCATTTTAGGGTTTTAAAAAGTTCAGTTTTAGTTCTGTGAGATTTCTAAACTCTTGTTTTTCTGATTTTTAGTGTAATGAGGTGCTCTTTACATGAAGATTTAAGCCCCATATTTCTACGAGCGTATCTTTGCTTTCGGCAACCAGAAGAGTTCTACTCCCACTTCATTAGATCCTTGAACTATTTTTTGTCTTATAGAAAATGGTTCATTCAAAATCTTATCACAAACACTACGTTTTTCCCCTTTTCCTCCCATATGTTTGCTTTTCGTGCTTTGTGGGCCTCAGTTATTTTAGAGTTGATTTAATACAGTGTCAAATACCACCTGTTAAGTAGAGACTAAACCAGGTTATTTGGCTATTGGGCTGTACTTTTAACTTTCTACTCCTGTTGGCTTCTCAAAGTACTTTTCCACCCTGCCTTCACAGCACTCCTACACGCTGTTATAGCTGGGTTTTCTCTCTCAGTAACGGTCAGACACTGAGCCTCTCTCCATTCCACAGGCTTTGTGCTTCCGGCTCATAAGCCCTTTGTTTTCTGGGGTGGCTACCTGTGATTTTTTTTTTTTGCTGCGTGCAGCTCTTTTCTCAGACAGATTCAGCTGCTCTCCATGTAAGTGACTCTTTTTTTGTTTTTTTAAAGTGTGCGCCCAATGACAGGGACCCAGGAGCTCTAAAGGTTTTTGGAAGAGGATTCCGACAGTCAGAACATCAACAAACCACATAAAGGCATCTGACCATCTGAGGTCTTTTCACCTCAGAGAAAGAGTTTGTAGTATGTTTATGTTTGCGGTTATGTATTTAGCAGACGCTTTTATCCAAAGCGACTTACAATGCAGATACAGCATTTAAGGGTAGCATCAACCGATTGTCTTAATAGTGGTGTGGGCACTTCTAGACGACAATCCATTGAGGACCGAAGTAACCAAGTCGTGACATAAACCTTTGCAAAAGTATTCAAGTAGATGGGAGCCGTACCGTTAAGCACTTTGTTATGAAATGCCCAAACATTTGTACATCTATCATTTTCCTTTTATCTCTCTCATATTTTACAAGGTTATGAATATTTTATCAATCCTGTTCAGGATATCACGAGTAATGTTAACTTTATGACGTCTGCCTTCGGAAATATCATGTTGTAACAGAACTTTAAAAGCAAACTCCTACCTGATTTTCAACAAGGTTAAAGCTGTTCATTTCCTCAGTCTGACAATAATAATCCTCAGGGAAGTGGAAAATCACTGACCACCTGCTGAGTGGAATCTGCTCTCGGTACATGTTTTTCTCTTCTATCAAAGGGTTTTTTTTTCTCCGTGGTTTGGTGCATCTTTCCCTCATAGTGTCAATGGAAATATTAAGAATTATGGAAATGAGAAACAAAATGATAACAATTACTCCATGTTTTGACAAGGGAGCTTTGACGTATATGGGGCAGGCAACATAGCATTAACATAGGAGATGAAACATCCTTTCAAGTCAATGAATTCGACAGATTTGATGTTCACGTTATCAGCTAAATGCACTTTCTGCCTCTGCATTAAAGTGTCACAGTAGATTTGGTTTGAAAGTCAAGGCTGATCGACTCGTGCTGGATGAAATATGAAATATGATAAAGACGGGTCATATGTTTTTACTTAGTGCTGAAGCACTCTGCCAACCGCCTCCATCATGCCTACGAACAGCAGGTCTTCAGCTCATCGCGGCTGTTGGAGGATCACAGATTTGGTTATGTGAGAATTAACCTGGTGTGACATCGGATTCATTAAACATGGGTTTAATTATAGAGGAGGGGTTGAACAGGTGGGGCAGCAGGGTGGTGCAGTGGTTAGCGCTGTCGCCCGGTAGGAGTTTTCTGAGCCACGCTGGGCTGCAATATGACTTCTGTGCTTGCCCAGTTCTATTAAAAAAATGGGAAGTCTTTCTTCATTTTCATTAGATTTTTAATCTCAAGTGGAGCTGTTATAACACCAAGAAAACAGCAGAGGCCTAAGCATGGTCTAGACTTCAGAGAGAAATTAAAACAGTTGGTGTCTGGCTTTAAAAGATGCATCAGTAGGGCTGCTTCGGTGAGCACTGAAGCTGATCTATTTGGATTTTTTTGTAATTGTGATTTTTCTCTATTTTGACCAACTTAAAAAAAAACAATCTTAATTTGGAAGGGAAGGAAATAGCTGGTGCTAGGACCCTGTGATGAGTGCAATAGTGCTTTATGCGTGCTCTGTGGAAGCCAATGACATGCTGCAGGACGATTGCAACTCCAATCAGACACAGATAAAGAAAGCAGAGTATTCCGTTAAAAGGAAAAATATTGCCCCAGTGAAGCAGAACAGACTGAACACATGACATAAAATACAAACAGTGATACTGCCAGCGAACTAAACTGAAATTAATGTTATCAGGACGACAACCACTGCCACAGGGAGGAAAAAACCAAATCCATCTATTTGGCTTGTAAAATACACAGAATTTAATGGCTTGCAGGCTCTGGTTTACTTTCCAGGAAAGGCAGAAATTTCATCTCATCTCTGATTGCCTATACCATGGAAACATCCTCAGGCTGCTTCATGGCTTTAATACGTGCGGCATACACTGACATGTACATGAAATAATGCCATCTGTTATTTGATCAGCACGTGTTTCACTATCGTTCAGATTATATATATATATATATATATGGGAGTATATGACATGACTGACTGTGTGTGTGTGCTTTCTTCAGACATAAGACAGAAAGAAATGGTAACTTAAACCCTTAAATGATCATCACACATTTTTGCGGACGTTTTTCTCTCAAATCAGGAAGGTTCTGTGGATTCAGTTTGTGTGACAAGAATTGTGTACAATGTCAATATGTCGACCTATCCACAGCTTCCTCTCCTCTACGCATCTGTTGTTGTTCAATAGCCCTCATAGCACATTAACTATGAGGCATTGTTATCGTAATGATGTCTCTCAAAAATGACACAATCAAAGAAAGTAATCTCCAGATAGGCAATCAGGGCAATTTACAAATGTACAATATACAAATACTAATTTTCTAGTAAAGAAAAAAAGGGAGTTTCAATACACTCAACAACAGTCCTATTCCTCTTCATTTAACACAAAAAAAGCAGATTTCTTATTTTAGAAATGAGTTTTAGGAACTTTAGGAACAGCAGATAAGTGCCTGCGTGTGGCAATGATGAACCAGATGTAATTAATTGTTCAGTGAGCAATCGGTTAGTGAAGCAGCAGTAAAGGCATCGGTATGCGTCAAGGAAGTGCTATAAATGAAGGAGTCAGCTGACGGTTGAGATGGGGCTGTTTGTTTAGTCACCCGGTGCGATAATCCGTCAAGGTCTGAGGCCCGGGCTGCAACTTTTCACTTTTGTTAGAAAACACTGGAGCCAAGTTTTTTCCAGCAGCGATGCGCCGGTGTACTGTTCTTGCTGTGTGTTATGAGCCATCTCCAGCAGGATGTCCGTCTCTCTTTTGACTCCAGCGGTGTCAGCCACTGACCGGACAGGTCTTTAACCAGACAATATTATACACGCTCACCTGTTTGTTGATGGAAATGTTGCATTTTCTCTTCCTTTAGGGTCTGTACGCAAAAGCATAATAAACAGATCAGATATGTGGATGTTCCAAAATGTAATCTCGAAGTTTCGTGGACCTCGACTGGCCTTTTAGTCTGTGGCACTATTTTGTCCCCCGCTCTGTCTCATTTGTCCCACTCAATAACTTTCTCAAAATAAAAATTCTTCAGTATGCTTGACAAACAAGTTTTAGATGGCAAGCCTTACAAATCTTTCCTTACCATGTCAAACTCAGTGACTAATCACCGCAAATTAGACTCCGATCTGTGCCATTTGTGTCTGAATTTGTCTGTGATGTGGTGTGCAAGACACTGGCTCAAAACTCTCTCATATCTGTGTTGTTGTTGTCACCCAGCTCGCTGTGCCACAGAAGGCCATAACAGACTAAACCGTGCTGAAAATCAAAAGGGGATGGTTACATTTTGATGCGTGAGCTTTCCCGGATCAACAGAGAGTGGAAGCCTCCCTCTCACATGCAGCTAATGACGCCATTCAGAAAAGGAAGTGAGGATGCAGTTACGGCCCCTTTTTTAATGCTGTTTTCTCCGGTTCATTCTCCATATCCAGCGGATGCCTTTTATTGGGGTTAGGGGCTGGAGCCTATTCCAGCTGCAATTATCTGAAGGGCAGGGGTATGAGCTGGAAAGGTCAGCAGTCCATCACAGGGCCGCACTGGGACAAAACTGGACAAAAACTCTCAGCTGAATGGCGAACACTTGAGGAGAGTTTGCATGTTGACTGCTATGCATCTCTTGATTGAACAAGATGGCATCGCGTTTCATTGACTTTATCCTGAAAGTGATAAGACACTGACAAAAAAAAAAAAGGATTAAGATTCTCGAGGAGATCAGCATTTGACTAAACATAAGCTGGTGAATTGCCAGATGTTTCACACACTCGCAATCAAATTGTCCGTAAGCTTCTGGGGATTTGTCATTTTTAACACATGTACGGCCTAGAAACTGAGTTTGCAGTGTGCAGGAATGTGATGAGAGAGAGTTTGGGAGGTTCAGAGATCAGCCTCTTCATTTATGTCCTCTGTTTTGGCTGGTTTGTCCAAAAAACAATCGGAGGCGTTTTGAGAACGTTTCTCCGAGTTCTGTCCCCTCTCATCTCTTTTCTTTTTAATCAGATTAGACAAAGGGGGAACGAGACTGTTTGGAGGGGAGGGAGACATCACATGATTGCACAGAATTATTATCACCTTTGCGCTCCAGTGATTTGTACACTTCAAAAACTTCAATGTTATGACAATACACGGACAGGCCTCACAAAGTGCACCCCCAATCAGAAATTAGCGGAAATGAGAGCTTCTTCTGAGGTATTTTTATTTCACCAACTATCAGAATTTTAAGCTTAAAGAAAAGTTTCCTTTTATGTATCGTCTCCATCCCATTATCTGGTGAGTAACATTATGTGTCCTCTGACCACATGACCGCTCTGCCTTTATGTCTCTTTCAGGTATTGTGTCACTGATCTCTCTGGTGATCCTCTCCTATGACCGCTACAGCACTCTGACTGTATACAACAAGCGTGGGTTAGACTATCGGAGGCCCCTGCTGGCTGTCGGGGGCTCCTGGCTGTACTCTTTGTTCTGGACAGTACCCCCACTTTTGGGCTGGAGCAGCTACGGGATAGAAGGTGCCGGAACGAGCTGCTCCGTCTCCTGGACGGCTAACACCGCCCAGTCGCACGCCTACATAATATGCCTCTTCATTTTCTGCCTGGGTCTGCCCGTGCTGGTGATGATCTACTGCTATAGCCGCCTGCTTTGGGCGGTCAAACAGGTAAAAAACTGCTCCCCGTGTGCACACGTGTTTGTCCGTCCATCCCCTGCTGGATCTCAGTCAGTGCCTATAGCCTACGCCTTTCTGTGCTAAATTAATTCTACATCTTTGGAAAATACAGACGTTTTATTGAACAGTAGAGCTTCCATTGGGGACTGATTGATGGTCGGCTTTTAATGTGAAGCCAGTTCTAATTTGCCACAGCCTCAAACTCAAGCGCACCACAATCCAAAATCAACTGTTGACATTTTTTGTGACTTGGCATCCAGCATTTCTACACTTGACTAAATCCCTGTTAATACCAAATTATGCCTCTAAACATATTAGGTATCGGATACAGCATGTCTGCATGTGTGTATGTTTCACTGACACCATCCTGGTTTAATAAGCACACCTTGAAATGAATCATTTATGTGCATTCCTTGCCTGTACATCCATTGGACATCAGTGTGGTATGTTTACCATCCTGTTCCCTTAAAATTTGTACTCCAAGCACACAGGTTTTCAAAGAAATTCTCCCCACAGAGAGTAAGGAGGAGTGCGTGTGTGCAAGAGTTCGGCAGTGCCGCAGATACATTATTTTTCATGCCCCTGGGTGAAAATTGTCTCGAAACTAACTGGAGTCTGCATGGTTTTTATGTCGCAGTTTTACTTTAGCTCACCTGTAAGCTTGGACAATGTCATTTAGATAAAAACAAAAATTAATAATGTAAACAAATGCATAAAGTAAGAACAGTCAAGCAGACTTACATAAAATAATCTCATCAAATGTACGCAAAGAAGGGATTAAATATATTTTTGATTGCTGCAAAATAATCCAACAAAGTGTTTAGAGTAAAATGGTTTGTGTGTTTGATGAGACATATTGTGGCACAATTTACTGATTGCAAGCAGCTGAAATTCTTCACCTTACCCCAAACAATGGTGGCAAGGGAAAGTGCAAACAGCTGGATTCGGAGTGTGTAAGTAATCCGTAATTCCGTAGCAACATAGTGGCCAATATGACAGGACAACCTGGGGTGTCAATATAACTTACTCTTTCTAAGGAAATGAAAACACATTATTCATATTTTAGAAAACATGTCCAGGAATATTATTTTTGCATTTCTGTGAAAATTGATTAGGAGAGATGCCCTGCAAACTCTACAAGACCTGGTCTGATTTACCCTCATGCTTCAGTTTTGTACGAGAGGCAAAAAAAGAAATCAAGTTTTGGCGACAATCTTTGTTAGGTTCCTGATTAGATCTGATTAAAATTTGATTATGTTACCATAGAGCATAATGTGTGGGCACTGCACATATGAAGAAAGTCAACACTTACCTGCCAATTTACTGGAGAAACACTGAAAGAAACCTCAGGCGGAGGAAGGCTCAAGGGTAAGTGGCCACTTCAGATGGGAGGAAAGTAATCAAATGACACACGACAAATAATAAGTACTGGACATTTTACTCAGGCCAGCAATCACAGATCCACAATGCTGACAATGAGATACGGGGGTGTACACAGAGACAAACAACCACACACACTCACATTCGCTGCTCAGCGCAATTTGGAGTGTCCAGTTAACCTACCGTGCATGCTTTTGGACGGTGGGAGGAAGCCGGAGTGCCTGGAGAGAACCCACGCAGACTCAGGGAGGACACGCAAACTCCACACAGAAAGGTCCCGGTTCCCCCGGGGACCTGAACTGGGAACCGTCTTGCTGTGAGGAGACAGCGCTAACCACCACACCGCTGTGCCGGCCCTAAGCAATATACACTTTCTAAATTTGGACATCTACAGGAAAGAGAATTCCTGTCTCTCCCTTTGTCTGTTCAAATATAATTGCGTGTAGCTAGTGGGAACTTCTCTGGTTTACTGGAGAGTCGTAGGTCTACATCGTATTAGAAAATAAAAATGCCCAAATTCCCAAACTGAAGCTACCTAGTTTGTTCTGATTCAATTATGGCTCATGTTGCGGTTTTGTTGAAAAACAAAATCTGAAAAAATCTGAGAGAAATACGTTTTTTTGTTGTTTTTTTCTTGGAATCACCGGAGTGCTCCACATTTCTACATTCATCTCAGGCGTCTCGCTGACCGAAGGGAGAGAGGCTGACACATATGGAATCGATAATGTTGCGAGCACAACAGCAATAGTTTTACTGAGGAATAGCCTTCCACGGTGAATATTAAACATGGTTAACGTCTAACGGAGAGATATCATTAAACATCAGACTTTGTTATCCTCGTGGAATTAAAAGACCACCGTATAGTGCTGCTAGAAGATGCCACTTATTTCCATTCATAAAAACAATCACAGAGGTTGATGAACCTGAAGGCTAGGCTCTTTCTTTTTTTTTTTCTTCAATAAAGCACTAAAATAAAAAAACATTTGTAATGCAAACCAATTTAGTAAAATCTGTTTGCGATAAACTCCATCTTACCGTTTCTCTTGCCCAATGACAGCTGGAATAAGCTTCAGGCCTTAAATTGCACTCAGTGTGTATACATAATGGATGAGTTAACAGATGGGAGTTATAAATGAATTGAATTATGCCAAAACCCAAGTCACTTTTTTAAACATGTTTAAAATGCATGGTCATTTTGACATATAGATTTATGGCATGTTATGAAATGCCAGGGGACGCTTAGTGGTTTAAAGGTCAATGTGAACATGCCACAAAAATATTAAAATTAACAGTTTTGAGTAGCTGTTTTTATTGTAATAATTATTCTTATTATAAGAATGATTAGTATTTATTAACATTAATGATAACTAAATCCAAGACATTCCCCATTAAAAGACACCATCAACAAGTCTCCATGCTGAAGTTCACTTTTAAAGTTTGAGTCATATGTCAAAACTTTATAATTAAAGGACTCATGACAGGAATATTTCTGGACCCTAAGGAGACTGCTGGTTCTGCTAAATGGAACCCAGCATGGAAATCCTCCACAGGGGGTTGTTGCTCTTTTCAGTTGCTGTTAACAAGGCGGATAGATGTTCTTACGATCCGAGTAACTTTAAGATTCAAGAAACTGAACTTGAAATCACCGCACCCAGTGCAGAATTCAGAATTTCCGGGCTGTCATTCGGTGAAAGGCGGAGTACGCCCTGGACAGGTGACCAGTCCATCACTGGGCCACACAGAGGCAAGCAACCACACGCTCACATTCACTGCCAGGGCCTTTAAGAGACATCAGTTAACCTAACATGCATGTTTTTGGACTTTGGGAGGAAGCCAAAGAAAACCCATGCATACACAGAACCCCCCTCCCCAGTGATTCAAAGCAGATACCATCTAGCTGTGTGTTTGTGTGTGTGTGTGTGTGTGTGTGTGTGTGTGGTGCTAACCACCACATCACTGTGCAGCTCGCTGTTAAACTCCTAGTGATCATTTCAGAGAGCAGTGGAAAGTAGCAGGACAAGGGATTATCTCTGCATTACGCCTTGGACAAAGCCTAAACCTCTCTGCGATCTTCTTGTTTTTTTAATCCATTGTTGTAAAGCACTTTTGGACCTCAGATTGACCCCCCGGTATCAATAAGCAGCTTTTATAAAGTGTCCTATGACTATAGTGACCTCTTTCTAGGTTACATTAAAAGAAATGGTTTCAGTACAATCACATGCCGTTTGTTGGAACTCGCTTTGAACCATCTGTTCAACTCTGTCACATTGGATAACAAAGTGTATTAGACTTTGTACAGCTTTTAGTGTGGTTTCAATCTCTATTAATGCAGATTTCCCACAAGCATCTCCGTTATGAGACAATGAGATCTGTTTTTGATCTGCATGTACTTGCTATGCAAGCTGGTTACTCAGAATTCAGTACAACTGTATGCTCCCTCATGTTTGGCTTACAATTTACAAACTAACTTTTACTTTTAAGGAACCTAAATAGAATTAATAATACCAGAAGCAAGCAGCGGAGAAAAATAATTCTGTTTTAGGTTATGCCAGTGGTAGTAATATTGCTTTGGAAAGCTTCAGATTTCAGTTTACAGAATCAAAACGTGGAATTTTGTGAAGAAAATCCAATATATTTCATAGTGGCATCTCTCTGGAGCAATATTAGGTCTACACTAAAAGTAAATCTAATGCTTTATGACATGCAAAGACAAAACCCCTCTTGCAAAGAAAAAATTACGAAGCTGAACTTGCATAATTATTTTTCTTCCGGCCAATAAATCCGTCAAAAACAGAAAGGCATTCACTTTGTATGTTGTACTCCATGATCAAGGACATCAATTGTTAAATTCTAACTGTGGTCCTAGTAAGCCTCCAGATTCTCTCCATCATTTGGTAATATTACCTAATGTAGATGATGGAATACCCAAGATAAATATATATTTGGGATTCTTGGGATTTTTTATGGACCCGGCTATATATATGTTCCAGCAAGTGTAATTTTTTTTTTCAATTGGGCTAAATGTTCTAAAGATTTTTTGGACTGCCAGATCACAATAGCTTCAACATGTTAATCAGAACTGCCTGTTGCTTCTTGCTTTTCCGTGAAAACATTAAACAAGGTTCATAGGATTCATGGGGCTGTCACACAATAGAGTATAAAAATCAAAGACAGTGCAGTTTTTCAGAAACGTTCAAGGTGGTCCGTTTCTAAACAACTACGGATTGTCGTGACGTGAAGTTACGAGGACCCAATGATTATGCCTGACAGCTGAACAATGTGGCAGGATGAAACACAAGGTAAAGCATCAAATGAATCGGTCAACAGAAAATTGGGTAAAAAAAAAAAAAAGTAAAAAATCAAGAAGATATTTGCAGGAGAAAGACAGGACCAAACACAAAGAGGACAAGTGATTGCCAGAGAAGCCTTGCTTTTTAGAAAAAGACAAAGACAAACCTCAAAACTGATGTGAATGCTGACTTACAGAATACAAATATGACGCGATTGACAAAACACTGCAGATAAAAAAACTAGCAAACGAGGTAGAGACAAAATAACTCAAACTCAAACCCTGAGATTCCACGATCATCCAAAGGAGCAATAAATATTGGCTGTAAAACTAAAGTCAATTGAGATGGCCAGGCTCAACCCAGAATCTCAGAATCTATGAAAGCAAAGCTCTGCTATGAATCGGTAACTCCTAAATGACCCGCGTCACTACCGACAATCTAAGCAAGTTTAGTTTTACTTGGTTGTGAAGTGAGAAAAAGACAAAGAGAGAAGGCTTGCAGCCGACCTCACGACACCAAGCAATGTGCAAAGTGGAGGCAACTGTTGAGAAGAATGAAGACATATTTAAACTTAAGATGAATAGTTAGAGTTAGTTAAATGCTTTATGAATAGTTAAAGCGGAGTTTCAGGAGGACCTTGGCGCAGGCCTTTTTTAATTGGCCCAGAAATGTATGTCCATGATAAGTGTGTGTGAACCTGTAACCCATGAGCAGAGGCACGAGCGGTTTCATCCAATTTACTGAAGTCATGTACAGATTAATCCGACGATGTGCAGATTTCTTTGAGCTCATCTGAGATGTGTCCGTTGCCATTGTGTCTGTGAAACTCAGCTGTAATTTGTTGCAGTTTGTCAAGTCAGAAATGATAAGGAATTCATCAGAAACGGTTCAATTTACACTAAAAGAGTCTGCTGCAAGCACACATGGCATGGATACAGCTGGGAAAACAAATACCCAAAGCTGATACATGCATAAACATCAGAGCTTAGCTAAGTCAACAGCACCAGAACCGCTCAACAGATGCATTTCAGGGAGCTGCTGCGCCACGCAAAATTCCCAAAGTCCCCCCCCACCGGCCAACTCTAAGACCCAAAACTACTCACTTACTAATGACTTTGTTAATTAGAAACTTTTACATATGTAAAAACCTTCCCTGAGGTCTCATTTTGGAGCCAATAATACTTCAGGTCTGATGGAAGACACAAAACAGAGCGACTTCATAGGATAATAAGAAATTTGTTGCAGTCACCAAATAAAATAAGAACTTTTCATCCGGGCAATGGTTTTAAAAAGAACCGGTGGCCATCTCCTGCAGAATGTTCTGTTAATGAAGCCGTCTCATCCTGCCGGTGTGGGACCAGATAAATCCCTGGAGGTTTTTCAAATTGGGGATTATTGTAATTAAAGTGTCTGAACTGAATCTGAGAAATTACTGACCAAAGTTATTTGGTCCGGAAACTTGGAAAGCTCCCCTCACTTCACATCATCTCGTCTAAACTTATCAACATAACAGGGGAGTGGTGGAAAAAAGAAGATTAAAGGAGAGCCACATCTGTGAAGACATCCAAAAGAACGTGGTTTGACAAAACCTCAAATTGATTTAGGATAAGTTAGATGTAGATTTGATTAATTTGTTTCCAGGTGAATAAGTGGGCATAAACTGTGTGAATGTGGCCACGTAAATTCATTGTAAACGACTGAGGCAGACACAAAGAAAACCGACTTCAAAACATCAATACTATAATTATTTACCTTTGTGTCACATGAAAACATTTTCAGATAATATCAGTATTCATCTACAAAAGGCCTCCTCGTCCCATCTGATTTTGTTAAAAGATTTACAAATACAAAGGTAAAAATAGGAATATTACAACTTTCAGAATTATTGCATGATCAAGCCACTACAATCAATCTACAAGATAATAAAAAAGAAGTGGGTGAGGATATGACTAAAGAGCAGACTTTTAAGGTTTCAATTAAAGGTGCTAATATAAATCTGAAAAGTACAAAAAAAACAAAAATCAATTTATCAAATACAATAGGGTTGATTTCAACTGATAAATGCACATTAGACAAATTCACACACATAAATGATATTTTTCTATTCTTTATCCAATTAAATGGGGTTGTCTGTGTTGTGCTTTTTTAGGAGGTATTCACTGCTTCTCCCAATGCTCAACGCATAACTAACAATAACTGCACTGTAGATGATTATGCATCATGCTTTAACGTCACTGATTTAAAGAAATAAAACAAAAAAATTAAATGGGATGATTTAATATGAGCAACAACACATATTATATTGTACTGCATCTTTATTTATGTAACCAATACAAAGCCAGAGGTCAGAAACAGTGGTGGGAGTCCAGTGCACTTTAATAAAAGGATCAGCAGCTAAAACCTCTATAAAACAGTTTGCAAACAAGGAAAATTCAGTTGTTTTCTAGTGTTTTCTAGCCTAGCGAAGCCATTTCTGACTAATGCTGAACCCAACACTGCAGAGAAAGAGATTATTTAAAGAAAAAGCACAGGTTGATAGGAAGAGTCACAGGTTAAAATCTTCTTCTCTTTAAAAAGAACATGACAGAACAACTCAGACTGGCAAAAAACAACAACAATACTTCAGGACAATGTTCTTTTGGAAAGGTGGGAGAAAAAAGGAGAAGTTTTTGTTGTTATGCAGCACCTTTAGGAGAAAACGAAAGACTTCATTTAGGTGCAAACAACTTGAACTCACCCTCAGGCACGCTGGTGGAGGGATGATGATACGGACTTCTTTATCAGTCAAAGGATTTGGACACCCTTCAGTTAGTGAGCACAGCAAGAATTCCTCTCCACAGAAAATATATTGTTTGAAAGCAAATATTGGCCAGAGAACCAGACAACAAGGATACAAAGGAAAATGTCATGAATTAGGTAACAATTGTCCCCTGAAAGTCTAGACCTCAATCTGATGAGTATACTTCTAGTCAACGAGGCGTGCGTAAATCAGTTTCCATTAAGATCCAAAAACTGGAGGAACAGAGTGAATCAGGAAGTACTTATGTATTGCAGGGACAAATTATTTTGCATGATCTTTCTTCACAATGCATTGTTGTTTTGTGTCAGAGTACATAGAATCTGGATTAAAACTATAAAAATAAACAATATGCCCCATCATATTAAATGTCTGAGTTTCAGATATCATATTACTGATATTAGTGTTCATTTATTGCTTTTCATTTTTTTTCCTTTCAATAAACTCAATATAGTTGACTTTGGGCACAAGAAATATGGGGCTTTGATTCATTTGTTTTCAATTGGTCTGTTGGAATGTGTTTTTACCACATATGTGCTGGATTCTCAGGAACAGTTTCCAAATGAAAATGTCACATTTAAATCAATTGCAGATCTTCCTCATATTGCAGTGGTTAAAAAAATACTCGCAAAAATGTCCAGAGTGTTCCCCGCCTTGGCTTTAGCCCCCACACGATCTTATTAGGAGAAAACGGTGTGGATAAGATATGGCTGGAGGGAGAATAAGCACAGCACCCAAATATTCATGAAAAGGTGTTAGAGTAAACCTACTGTATTCCATTTAATAATATGTGTTTTACTCGATTATTTTTTGGCAAGTTGTTTTATTTTTTTCCCCTCCAAATCCCAAATTCCTTTAAAAGAAAATCCTTGAACGCATCATAAGAATAAAAAATTAAAGCCTGAAAACCTGCATGATGAATCAATGTATGGAACTCAAAAGGAGTACTTAGTTTAAAAATCTTTCAAGTAAACAGAATTGCTTGGTAAATGACTTTTTTTTTTTTTTGACGACCATCATCACGCAGGTGGGGAAGATCAGAAAGACGGCGGCCCGGAAGAGGGAGTACCACATCCTGTTTATGGTCCTGACCACGGCGGCGTGCTACCTGTTGTGCTGGATGCCGTACGGAGTCATCGCCATGATGGCCACCTTCGGCCCGCCCAACATCATCAGCCCCGTGGCCAGCGTGGTGCCCTCGCTCCTGGCCAAAAGCAGCACCGTCATCAACCCCGTCATCTACATTCTGATGAACAAACAGGTGAGCCTGCAGGATTTTTACCCTCTTTTTGGTGTCTTGCATAAAGTAGTTTTTTTTTTTTAGGGGAGGGAGGGGTAAAAAAAAGAGTAAAAGAGTTGCCATGTACAACAGCTTTATTTACACAGTAGAAAAAGACAAACAACAACAACTGAAATCATACAAATGGTCCATTTAAATATCAATTCAAGTGAAAAATACAAATAAAGAACTCCCTAAGGCTGCTGGAAGTGAAACAGGACCTTAAATTACTTGACTGCAGAAAGCAGTAGAGAGGAAATATATTAAAGGAAAAGAAAAAAAAAATCTCAACAATCTGTCAGAGGCAGTGTGGTGTAGAAATTCCCACCAAACTGAACATAAGCAAAACATGAAAGATAGACCCAAGAGCAGAGAGCAGCGAGAGAAAAAAAAAAAAAAAAAAGCAGAGGGGACTCTAAATAAACAATGTCTCCAAACAGTTCCCCACTCACCACTTAACCATCGTAACAAATTAAAGTTAATGCCAAGTTTCTGTACAGTGTCCAGTATTTTTAACACCGGCAATAAAGCTGTCTTCTCAAAGCGGATGTAGATGTTCAATTAAATTTGACCTTAAGCATCTCGGAGAGAAGCAACAGTCCTATCAATCCCAGTCCTCATCCCGCTTTTAAACCATCCAGCTGACGCGCAATTAAAGTTGGAATTTGGCACAATATTAAGATGCGAAGTTCATAGAATGCATAACATTTCATAAAGTGCCTTCTACAAACTGCTGAAAGCTACGCCATGTCTGGATGTGATCCAAAAGCATGCATTAGAATCAGCAAAACGCCTCCTAAGAAAAAACTTTTTTTTTTTTTTTAAAGCACTATCTCCCTCTAGAACGTTGAGGACAATGACTCCAAGCACAGCGAAGCACAAACAGATCGAGACTCGGCCCCGATCCTCAAGTTTTGTGCACTGGAAAGTAATGGAGAGACTCACATGTGAAATATATATCGGGGGCTATTGCAACTTCCATGTGCTACAATCCCAAGTACCGAGACGTTTTTCTCATTTATCTCAACACAGAGATGTCAAACCTAAAGCAACACTGGAAACCTGCACGACTCAAATCCTTAAATATCCTTGAAGCGTCACAAACGGCTCTTAAAGCCTGCGCCCCCTATAGTTCCTTAAACAACAAGGGCTGGGTAGAAAATGTGAGGTTATTGTATTCCAATTCCTCAAATCAAACCAGTGTTTTATATTTTCACAGAGCAATCTAGAGCATTTCCTTGCCTAATCTCATAACGCAGGTATTGAACACGCACGTCCGTTCCATATCTTATTGTGGGAAATGCTTTTATTTTTGCATCAATGTGATGAAGCACTTACTGCCATGTATGCAATTCACTGAATTAGTATCTCTGTGGTAATTTAATCCTCCGTGTTGTACGGACAGCGATCAGACGCAGCACTACAAACCACAGACAGTGTCGCTGAGATTTTTTTTTAACAACATAGCAACAGTTTTGCTGAAAAAAATAACCCAAGATGGCACCATCCTGAGAGGGCTTTCAATTATGTGCGGTTATGAACAAGGCACAAGTTGTCTGGCAACAATGAGTGGATGGTGTGTGGCTTTTTAAGAAGCAACACACAAAATGCATCCGACAGTTGCTGCAGAATGACATAATTTTATCTTCTTTTATGAAAAATACTTAATAAATAGCTTAATTATGGGGGACTCCTTTGAATTTATTCTCCGGCTCTTTTTGTACATCAGTGGCTTCTTCCATCTTTTGTACTCAGTCGGAGGTAATTGAATTTGTTCTCCGAGACATTCCAAACAGTTTGACTGATGTCTGCTTTCCTTTAGCTGGATGACAAAAAGCAGTTGTACAAACAGTTTCAGTGATGATGGGGTTTGTTGCAGTATATTATGAGCCGTGGCTGTTAACATCATTTAGAATGAATAGTTCCATGAGCTGAATTAGGTCCGACGGTGGTTAGACCACAGTGGTGACTTCACAAATACTAAACACGGGGGGATTTGTTTATTCAACTACTTTTAGCTTTGGCGCTAATGGTTGTGGCAACCGCCGTACCACCGACTGGGGAAAGAAATGACATCTTTCCTCATTCCGAACAAGCCCTTTCTCGTTTCAGGGCAGCAAACAAACACAAAGGCATATTGACTCAGAGGATTTTCAATTAAACAGGATTATATCTGAAGCAAAATATAAAGCTTCCAATCAAAGGAGAGATAGGCCAATGTCACACCAAGTTCCAAGTCCCCAAAAATCTAAGCTAATCATGCCACAGGACTAAAAGGATTTAATCCATTTGCCAGACACGACATGACAAGCCCCATGACATTTCATGCCCTGATCGGTTAGCCAGGAGGGGGACACAGTCAACATTAGGTGGGTTGTAATGTTGCAGCTAATCGCCGTTGGTTCCTAAATACCCATACATTTTTGTGAGGCATGATCAGATCCCCGTTTTTTTTTATTTTGACCAAGGACCCAAAAAAAAGTGTCTCGATGGGGAAAAGCATGCGTTTAAAGTTAAAACTGATTATGAACAATACCCAGCCCAAGTCAAAGCTCATCAATAGTTACTTTCCTGTACAACAGAGCAGTCTAAATCACAACGATCTATGTGAAGCAACAGTTCTGTGACTTTTGTCAAAGTTGACATCAACATTATCATATCTTCTATTAAACCACTACGAATGGCACGCACACATTTTTATACAAAGTCTGTTATAGGCAAACCGTTTCACGACTGCATCTCTGCACAAAGTAAGACACAAAGACCTCTTTTCCATGCTGATGTAATACTTCCAGAACTAGCTCCAAACCTGGCACTGGTTCACTGTATTAAAAAAAAAAAACCTCATCCAACACTGACAAAGCAAATCTGAAGATATTACTGGTCAAATGTCCTCTTTCATAATCGTTTCCACGTCAAGCCATGGATAGGTACAGAGTAATACTAGAGGATTCAGTAAATAGGAAACATGTATAGTTGCGGGGAATGCACTTCATGCTGTTACATAACCAAAAAAATAATAACCCCACAGTGAGCTGCACTTTAGCACACAGTACAGCAGAGGTGAGCTCCACTAAGGGTTTGGCCTGACACACAGTGGCAAAATTACATTCAGCAAAGAGTGAACTGACCATCAAAGGCAGAAGAACAAAAAAAAAAAACTCGGGGGGGCTAAGAAATAAATCAACCCAGAAATATCAGCACATCTCATGGAGTCAAACCGGATGGTACTGCAGTCCTGCCACAGTATGTACTGCATTAGTCTGAACAGTCACAAGGCAACCCGAGGAAAGTGTTCGCTTGACCACCAGGCACGGGGCTACCACTGCTCTGAGCACCTGTTTGTTCTTATCCTTTTTGGCCCCTGAAGTACTTTCATTTTGTTACAAGAATGCACCTTTAAACGACTAAAACGTGAAGAGGAAGTAAACTGGCGGTCGGTCAGTGTGTGTGTGCAGGACAGTACTTTTTTTTTTTTTTTTTTAGACCAGCAAGATCAGGGGTGGGAAATAATCTTGCTGTAGTGACTTGTAACAACCTTTTTTTTTTTTTTTTTTTTTGCTGGAAGATATGTACAGTAGTACAGCTGCTGTGAGGGCTTTACAATCAGCCTCGAAAACTGTGCATTCTTCCACACGAGTCGCTGCTAAACATCGATGAAACCATGTGTGGTCGTTTGAGACATTCAGAGTGGATGGTCCATTTAATCCATACCCACCCACCCCCATCCACCAGTGAAGAAAATATAAAAAAAATAATAAAATAAAAAACCCAACAGCGACTTCTCTGTTAAGGCGAGAAGCACCCTCACTACTGCAAAAGACAGACTTTACACGAATGCAACACACCCAGTTATTTGAAAATTCAATCTATCTAAAACACAGATCTGTTGCTAACCTTGTTAGCTCCACAGCTAGCGTGGCTCAGCTAAAAGCAGAAAACTTCGCATTTTTCCTTTTGCTTTTCGTCCCCCCTCCTCCAGCTGTAGTCTCTAGTCAAGTAAACCATCTTTGATGGAGACAGTGTCTTTCAGAAAAAACTCCATGTTCATCCCTCCCTAGAGGGCTATGGCTTATGCTCTTCATGGGTCTAATTTGAAACTCGTACGCTTCGGCCTTTTCCTTTTTCTTTTTTTTTTTCCTGCTGTGGCTTTATTGCACCTCCCCCTTGGTCAGCCGGAAAAAGGCCAAAGTGTGTGTACATGTGTGCGTATCCTCGGGCTCAGAGGGGTCAGGTTTCATTTCAGATGTCACAGTTGACGGTGCTTAAGCCTGGGAGGGAGACGCGTCCCTTCCTCCTGAGGTCACTCTCGGGGCCCGTGTTGATCCGCTGGATCAGGCTCTTCTCGTAGAGGAGGGGGTGGTAGGCACCCAGTGTGCAGGCGGCGTCGTAATAGCGCTCGTGGTAGTGGCACAGGTCAGTCTGCCTCGTGGAGGGAATGTACTCGTACACGTGCACCTGCTCGCACAGCGCCATCATCAGGAGGATACCTGCAATGTGAGCACACACGCACACACACACACACAGAAGGCATTTCAACCTGTAGCTTTTTTGCCAACCTCACTTTGGCCTCGGGGATTTATCAAAGCTTTACCACAGGCCAAAGTAAATGAGCCTGCGTGGCACTGTGGGACAAAAGCAAATGCTTAGAACTGATATCTGAGATTAGCGCACCTTGACATGTAACGCATGGAGTGTCAGGTTATATAAAGTGGTGTAAAAGGTGATTATACGCAGATATAGCTAGACTCCGAAAGGTTATAGAAAAATAAGGTAGGAAAAAAAAAAAAGAGGAGCAGTTTCATGAAATGCACTCTGACACAGCTGTGCCTGAGAGGCCGTTATAGGTTCACACGTCGGACACCGTCCATGTGCACTCAAGCCAAACGCACGCCCTGGTGAACAAATCTGAACTGCCAGATGTGTTACTTTTCCTCACATCTGACACAGCCTTCAACCATACATTTCTCCCTTATATATCCGACGTGCCAGAGATTGGAGAGCGCTCACAGGAGAAAATGTGATTTCAAGTGTAAACAAGAGCTGCAGCTGAGATGTGGGAGCACGTGTAGCCAGAAGCAACTCCAAATAAGAGAAAACCAGACTGGAGACCGAATATATAAGAACCGTGTGCATAGCCATGAAAGGTCTCCCATTCACTGGCGAATTCTGGCAACAGAGAGCGGTGAGCACGCATATTCAGCTACTTTCTCTTGTTTTGATATGCCTTTTGGATTCACACTTTTCCGCCAATTCCTGCTAATCATTCCCTCGTTATTCTGCATGCAAACCCTCCACCATCTCCACTCCCTGTCCACAGCTGCTCATCGGCGTCCACGTTCTAAAATTACCGAGCAGAATCCCTCCGACAGGCTGTATTTGTCAAGCGAACATGGTTAGCAAGCCAAGTATTGTTTTCTTAATAGGACCCATTTTAAAAAGGAAAGGGGAAAAAAAAAAAAAAAAATCAACTTCAGATGAGCTGTAGATGAAAATCTGATCTGCAACGATGTAGATCTGCACACTGCTTTATGCAGGGACAGAAGTACAGTATACTATCATATTAAATAAAATAATTATTTAAAAAGAGATGCCAACATTTTGGACACCATCAGTAGATATGCTTAGCATAAAAAAACATTTTTATGACATTTAGAAAAAAAATAATTCTGAAAGTAGTTTCTATAACTTTTCTCTAAGTTTTTTCTTGGTCGGAACATCTGTGTGTGAAGAACTGGAGGGGAAAAAAGAAAAATCATTGCTGGAACCGTAAATCTAATTTTCTGAGTTCTGTTTGTCTAAAAGGTGTCTGGACCTCTGAGTTTTGGACGATGTGCTCACACAGCTTTTTCTGTCCACAGTTCTACAAGTGTTTCCTGATCCTGTTCCACTGTGACCACTGGTCGTCGGAGAACGGCAACACCTCGATGCCCTCCAAAACCACCGTCATCCCTCTGAACCGCAGGGTCTACAGCAACACGGTGGCCCAGATCTCCACAGACGCCCTCAACTAGTGCAGACCCCCCCCCCCATCCCCGCCGCTTCCCCGAGGACACCGCTAAAGGCTGAGCTTCAGCCTGTGAATCCACCAATAACTGCGCTTCAAAGTAACACTTCAGCCAACAACAGTGACACGTGGACCAAAGCATGAAGCATTACAAGAAAAAGGAAAAAAAAGAAGAAAAAAAACTGAAAAAAAGGCTTAACGTCTGTCTGTGAGCTTGTGTTAGTCCACAAAGGGACTCTGTAACTTTACGTTTGCTTTTAATGTTATAAAAAAAA